TCTCTCTCTCTCTCTCTCTCTCTCTCTCTCTCTCTCTCTCTCTCTCTCTCTCTCTCTCTCTCTCTCTCTCTCTCTCTCTCTCTCTCTCTTTCCATTCTTTCTTTCCTGCGTCTCTATCTCTCTCACTCCCTCATTCCGACGAATGCGTTTGGAAAGAATGGTCTGCTTTGTATTTGTTAAGTTGTGTTGTCCACTGTTTTATTGAGTCCTGTACGGGGAAAACGCAGATGTACATTAATAAATAACAATGTATGTTGCCACATACATATAGCCAATCTTTGGTAGGCGCCCGCTGACAACAACTATGGAAGTAGTGAGGGCCTGTCTCTGCCCCCCCCCCCCCTCTCTCTCTCTCTCTCTGTATTTCTCTGTATGTAGATATATTTCCGGATGTCAAGATTGACCAAAACCGAACAGAAGAGAAGTCAGGCAAAGAGTGTGATGCAACGGCGGATCACTTTCTACTACTGGGGGCCAAAGAAGAGAAGACGACTGAGATGGACCGGAACTGGGGTCACATAGTAGAGAAGCAGCGAGAACATATAGACAGACTAACAAACGAGGTACATAAGCAGAAACAATTGGCGAGACAGATGTCAGACGAACTAGGCTGTATTAAGTCATTGCTCGTAGAAATGACAGAAACTGCGGAACACAGGATGTTGACCGTGTTCTGGTTGTTACTATCCGATCCAAAGTGTTTAAACATAACTCGTCTAAGGGAGGACATGACTGCCAGACTGAAGGAAATAGCTGAAATGAAGACCACCACGTTTAACGAGTTCCAGACATGGTTGGATGGTGAAAGGCGCAGGCGCACTGCGGTCTTGAATCGGTTCGCCGCCCACGTCACAAAGAGAACTCACAGGGAATCACAAGGACTTGATGTCGCATCCGCATCTTGTGGGATCCCTGAGAAGTGTGTGCTGAAGGAGGGGTGGGCATCTTATGATAGCCAAGAATATAATACGGGTTCGCTAACTGCTTCGTCACGCAGTGTCGTCGACCTCTTGGCCTTCGCAGCAGATTGTATTCGCCACTATAAGGAAACCGTAGACGAGTACGGTCTCTGTGATGAGGGTGTCACGATTGCTAAGGATGACCTTTCTCGCAATATGACGTCTCTGTTGAACGGTTGCTCGGACGTCATTGATGCCCTGCAACACACGCGAGACAGGTTGTTGGATGGAGAAATGATGGTGACTTGTGCGAACGAAGTTGTCATGGGAAGTGCAGAAGGTGAAAGGACGAAGGCAGGTGAAGAAATCGACACAACAATGCAAACCTCCACAGGAATTGGCACCACTGTCGGGGACTGCGTGCCTGCGCCGCATGCCCTGCTCGCGTGCACCGATGTTGCCGCACTGAATTGTCACCACGTTCGTCACAACTTCCCATGTGTCGTCGCTAGCAAAGCACCTTGTGCTGATGCAGAATCTGTTGCGCTGCCTATGACGACGGACACATTTCAAAAGTTCGTTGCAAAAACGAATTCGCGACAAATGGCGAGGCTGGTTGCGGACTGTCTGTTCCATCTCATATTGTACATCAAAGAGATAATGGTACAGGTCGTAACGAACGCAGGCCAGCATGGAGGGAATAACGAATGTCAGCATTGCAGGAAAGGACTTCACATCCACGACCGCTTAAAAATTTTCTACACAAGATGTCAAAACGTGGTTGTGCGGGTGGTCAGGGACGCGTGATCTCTCTCTCTCTCTCTCTCTCTCACACACACACACACACACACACACACACATACACACACATACACACACATACACACACACACACTATTATGTATGTTTCTTGCTGCCTGTATTACAACTTCTTCGTCCACACTTTTCTGTCTATAATGTTCGCTGCCTTTTCCCGTATTGACATACTTGTGGTTCACTACTGCGTGCCATATCAGTGTCCACCGCTGCTGTTTGTTGTCGTTCTGGCCCGCAGTAGTGAACTGATCTCTGTCGCTACGTCTTTCCCTGTCCAACAGCACAAGGTTCACTAGTGCGGGCCAATGTCTGTCTCGCATGAGATGTTTGTTGGAGTTCTGACCCGCAGTAGTGAACCTCTCGCTGGTGCTGCGTTTTTGCGTTTCCAACTACTTGTGGTTCACTACTGCGTGCCATATCAATGTCAACCGGTGCTGTTTGTTGTTGTTCTGGCCCATAGTAGTGAACCGTTCTCTGTTGCTGCGTCTTTCCCTGTCCAACAGCATGAGGTTCACTACTGCGGGGCAATGTCTGTCTCGCATGAGATGCTTGTTGGAGTTCTGGTTCGCAGTAGTGAAGCTCTCGCTGGTGCTGCGTCTTTGCGTTTCCAACTACTTGTGGTTCACTACTGCGTGCCATATCAGTATCAACCGGTGCTGTTTGTTGTCGTTCTGGCCCGCAGTAGTGAACCGCTCTCTGTCGCTGCGT